GGTTTAGTGTCGATTAGTCCAATTACTCTTGAGCTGATTATTGCACATATAAAAAGCATTTTCCCCACACAGTTCTTTCAATATTAAAATAATATCACAATATATTCATATTGTAGATCTTATATCATTATATTACAGCTACAGATGTAAATGATATAAATGAAATATTTTACATTATTATGGACCCAACACTATGCTAAAGGTCATGTAAACACTTGTAAATCATTTCTCCTTGCTAATAAAATTTTGGCTTATGTTGTCTTACCTGCCCCTGCTGCCTGTGCTGGAGTTGCTGGAAGGCCGTGCAGGCGTATGGGAATTAGACACACCTGCAGACATGAAACGAAAGGAACAAAATGAAACGAGGAACAAAACATCCATGATCACCTCTTTCTCTGGGTACACATTAAAGCTCTTCAACATGTACACAGTACTTAAGCAGGGAAAGAAAAGAAAGAAGAAGAAAAAAAATCAGTGTCACTTAGATCAAAGGCTAAAAATCCAAAGCTATTATGCCGTCCGAATATCCCATAGACTGTATGTGATTTAAAACTGCAACAATGTTACAAATAAAACATTAAATGATATTTTAAAAAGACATGCTTTTTCAGTAATCCCAGTCTTGATATACCCGTGTGGATACCTGAAGATCCAGGAGAGTGTGTGGATAGTCCGGGTGAGGGGTTCATGTCCACTGAACCCAGCTGAAGCTTGCTGGCTGTGATCCCGCGATACATAAGGTCTCCAAGGTAGTTGGTACCTGCATCCTCCAACTACAAAAAAAAAAATAGAGTGATAGAGAAAAGTTAGTGAAGAGGCCAAAAATAAAAATAAACAAATAATGAAATAGTGATATCCAACCAAGATAAACACCAGCTACAGACACATGTAATCCCAACTCACTTTACCATTCCTGGTCACATGACACATTTTATGTAACTATACAAATTTACACATTGCTTATCATGTTTTCAAATATCTAATTTATGAGTTTTTTTAATCTAAGCTTCACAGATATTAAACATCTTTCAGTGCTAGTGATTATTGTTGGGTCTGTGTTTCCACAAGCCCCAAGTTTAGAGACTTATTCATCATGAAGAAACAAGACAGTCAGTGATCGATC